AAACAGTGGATTTGAGCACAGTTAGTGATAGGGGCATGTGCAACAAACCATGATTACTTCTGCTGATTTTTAGGATCATGGCATGCATGCTCTTGTTCCTCACTAACAAAAACGCATAGCTAATGGTGACAACTATGGCAAAAGTGGTTTTGCTTTATCCAATTTTGTTAGTTTACTCCCTGTACCTTTAGTTTATGTAGAAATAGATATGAGGCATTACTTTCAGAGTATCTTTAGTATCTATTATACTGTCTAGGAAAGAGGATGGTTATGGCAATGTAGTTGGTAGCAATAAAAATTGTTGAAGTTACAATTATAGGATCCAAGAGACTAACAATGACAATAAACAGCAAGAGAGAATTTTAGGTCAAGACTTGGTTTTGTAATCTGAAAAGCAAGCATAAAAGAATGTCCTTTAGCAAGTTAGTGATTGAGAAGATATTTTGTGCTTGTTATGACAAAGAAATGACCTTTGGGAGGAGCAAACTCAAAGGCCAGCCACGATCAATTAAAGAAAATTGCCATTTTGCCAGAGTTAAAATAAAAACAAGCTGAAACAATATATTAAAGAAATGGCATTGTTGTTGCCAAAGAACAGAACTTTAGAGACTCTTAAATATTCTTGTGCACCAATTGTTGAGGTCAAACAAGGTCATCTGAGTTCAAGAACAACAGACTTCAGTAGATTTTTATAAAACCACATGATATCTGGAGGCGGATATATGTGTATTTCAGTACATGCGTCTGTCCAATCTGCCTTAAAATGACTGTTTGCAAACATTGGAAATATCAAGGAAGGCTGCTGAACAGTTTCATTCCAATTTAATGTTTTATAATTAAAACTGTTTAATTCAAAACAAAACAGGAAATTAGAATCCATCTGAATGTAATTTCCTTAATACTTTCTACTAATTCCAAAAAGTAAATACTATCGATGTACTACATCACTAATGGGAAAGCCTTCAAATTAGTCCAAGTCGAGTTACTATCACCTTTTATTACAGCCTTGCAGATGAGGTCAGTCACTGATATTGGTTGAGATGAAAGCATAAAAATGCAGTTGAAGTACTGTTTTGAAATGAAGCCAGATATGCTTTTGGTCACAATAAAATTTTTAACTCTAGATTCACTGATATCAAGAATAACTTACCATATATACTTGAGTATAGTGTGAGATTTTTATGCAGAAAATAGATTGCACTGTACACAAGTAATTTTTTTGAAGAAGTTAAAAATCATGCATTTTTGATCACTGGTTGCAGTATACACAGTAGGTAAATTTTTCTAGAGGGGTTAAAATTGATGCAAAAATTTCAGGGAACACACTATTCATGAAGTTGATTTATACGCAATTATATATGGTATGTACATTAATTGATTGTAATCTTCCAGGCAATACACTTGATGATGGTTAAAGAGAATATTTTTGAAGAACTTTGATTAAATAAAAACTCTACTTGTAAATCAGTCCTCATCATTGACATGTATAACAGGCTTGTATATAGCATATTACCTACTTGTACTGTACTATACTCAAGTCATGCTCTTAAATAACTTCTTGAAATCTAAACTCTAATATGGATGCCATGCATAGCATCCAACTCATTCAGAAATACCTAATCTAACAGCTATATACAAGCATTTCTTATGATCAATAATTAAAAATGGATTAATGTCAATGAATCCTCTAGGTAATCAGACAAGTCTTCTTCTGATATTATAGCCTGATGCTACAGAATCACAAGGAACTTTCCCAAATAATAAAAACCATATATCTCAAAGATTTCCAACAGCAGAAAAACCTAAAATAGAAAACATTTTTTTTAATCATTTCACCCAAGCAAGGCAATAAAACCACTAGGACACAAGGGATTACTGAATGTTAGAGAATATGAGAAAATAAAACATTATTAAGGAGAGAGAAGAATAAAAAACAGGAATTAAGAAGGAGGAGAAAATGATGACATTTAAATTTTTGAAGATTGAAATTGACTGGAATGCAAGAATCTGGAAGAGAATTCCACAAGCAAGAAGTGCAAAAGAAGAAATTATTCACATAGAACTTATGGTTGCATCTAGCCATTTCATATTTGATCAAAAGATTAATCAGAAAAAGTTAAAGCACAAATTATAGTTAATTCTTTGTCCATAGATATTTAATATTAATATTTACATAGCTTTATAGTACAGTGATGTTAGAAATATTTTGTTGCACCAATCTTCCAGATAGGGATTGCCTGGAATATCTTAGCTTTTATCTAGGCCCAAAGACCTTCCCACAAACCGCTACTTTGTGGAACTGACTCCCAGGTGGATGCTTTACTGACAGTCTTATAAAAATAATGCTTCAATTTGTTAGGAAAGTGTTACTATTCAATGCTCATGCATAGTTCTTACTCCTCCTAATCAGAGTCATTATTATAGCCTGGGTATTCCTGATATGTTAATTAGTTAATCTACATAACACTACAGAAAGTCATTGAAATCTTGTTGAAATGAATGTTAGATGTGAGAGGCAAGTTTAACTTGGCATTCTTTTTCAAAAAGTGAATTCTGACACTCTACAACACAAAATGAAGATAATATAATTTTTTGCTGTATTTTGCCTGTTCTTTTTTTGTCTCTGATCTCTCAAATGTGAACAACATTAACAAAAATGTTTGAGACAAAATTTTTGCCCTTCTTATATTGTATGTTCCCAAATATTAAAACAATTTAAATTGGTAAAAAGTCAGAAAATTGTCCTTGAAAAAATATTTAAAACTTACTCAGCTCCTTTCATACATTAAATTAATTGTTACCTACACTTTTGCCATCATGTGCCAGGCACTACATATCAATTTTAGACATAACATTCTTTGCATCTGTCAGAAAATTATAATCTAAACTTCTACTGCCATGTTTTCATGAGTGCTGAATTCTTTTTTTGGCATTTAAAATCCCACCCAAAAGAAGTCTGAATGTGTAAAATACAAAATTAAAGCTCTTTCCAAGAACTTTTTGCTCTTAACTGTAGAAAAGAGTTTCTAGATTTAAATCTGTATTTCTTAATTAGAAATGTGTAAGTTTTTTGTTTTAATTTTCCTCTTAAGTACAATTAGCATTAATACAGTTCTTTAATTGAAATGAAAATGATAAAAAAGTGTTAAAACCACAATTATTTACTTGACTCTTTTGCACAAACCCACCATGAACTTGTCAATTATTGAAGCTTAGCATGATTCATGTAAATATTGATCATTAGAAACATAAGATATTAGTAGATAATACCAAAATACTATATAGCACATACTGTGAATTGATGTACTTATAGAGTAGTGGTTATCAGCACAAAAAATGGGATCAGCTGAAAACTGTGTAACTTCTTGTCATAATGATATTTGTTATTTGAAGGCTGAATGTGATAAGTAAAACAAAACTCAGAACAGAAGTAAAAGTACTAAACTTTATTTAGAAATTCAGCTACAAAATAAAAGTGAGGTAAGTCACAGATTATATAGTCCATGTGGGTGAGTCTTTGGCTTGTACAATGCAAGGATAGGACACCATGTTTTTCACTCCTTGGAAAATTGTAACACGATCTATAATGATATGGGGATCTCATTGTCTGTCCAGATCTCCTTATCTGTTGGACCTCAGCAAAATCTCCATTACATATTGTGCTTTTCTCTGGTATAGGAACAATCAGGGTACTCTTATCTTGATGGGGGGGGGGATTCTCATAGTTTAACTACCTCTCAGAGCAAAGTGCCAAATTGTAAACAGATAGACTCCTTTCCACCTGCATATCTTATGTTGGTATATGTCGGATTAATGTTGAGGAGTTTGAGTTGGTCCTCATAAGGATCGATTTTACCATTTCTTACAAACCTTTTTAATAATACTGAACCTAGTGACAGTAGCCAGGATGGCAGTGAATTCCCATGTGATGAGAGGTGTGGAAATGTAAAGAAGTGTTCATGACGCATGGCATTTGTTGTGGTACATAGCAACTCAGATCTCATTCAAAAAGAAGGGCAAAAAGCACTTTTTTTATCTTGTTTTTTACAAACTGAAACCAAAATAAAAGAAAAACCTACCAAAATGAATAAAACTTGAACCAAGTATTTGATCTGTTCAGCATTGATTCAGAAACTTTCAGTCAGTTTTGAACATTTTTATTTTTAATGTCTTCCTCTCACTATCAATCTATTAATGAAAATCCATCAATTATCAGGACTAAACAAAAGATTAGTCCTAAGTATGACAATAAACTACATCAAGCAGCAAGGCCTCTGATCAAGAGATTGGAGGTTCTGAGGAGTGTTGGACCACCTCTTAATTCCCAGGTCCACCATAACCCAGGGTGGTAGCACCTGTTAGGGTTCCAGCTATGGGCAAAAAGTGAACCTCTAAACAAAACAAAACATTATGAAAGTATAAAAATACATTTTTATGGTAAAAATACCAGCAATACATTTTTCTATAAAAAAATTATCAACAATATCTATTTATAGCAAAATACCCAATAATATATTTTATCTGTAATTGAAGGCATGCAATTATGTTCAAAATATTTAAATTTCAGAATTAAATAACTCATAGGGAATTATATGCCACTAAATAAAACTGACCAACCAAACCAACAACTTTTTCTTGTAGATTATAATATCCTACAATTTTTTAAGTGAAATTGTATACCAAAATATAACATTAACAAAACTATGACACAAAACACACATCACTGCCTACTATTAATTATGTCTACATAATCATGTATATTTACAAAAGCTGAGCATCATCTACCATGTATTCAATTATGAAAGCAGAATGACATATTTTTATTACTTCAAAACTCCCAAGAAAATTCAATTTTGGCATTAAATGACCCATAATGATTTGATATGTCATTAAACAAAGAAAACAAAATCAAAAGGTTACACATTCATTATCAGCCTTTTTGTACCATCAGAATCAGGTTTCTCAACTCTCCCAATACACTCCTTCATATCATCAGAATC